ACCCATATCCAGGCCCGCCCCAGGCCGACAAATCAGAGTCCAGGGCAGGCAGACACTAGTGTTGTCACAGCGGTCCAGCTGGTTCTTTGGCCGGTCTGAATGGCCCAGCCCCAGGGCCCCGGCTCTGGGGTCCAAATCAACCACTGCCCCCACGAGGTTGTGCAGGGATCCGGGCAAAGGGCTACAGGGCCAGGACACAGCAGGAGGACAGCGGGGTCCCCAGGGCAGCCTGGTTGAGAGGAGCACCAGAGCCGGTGTTTCAGCGCGGGTGGCTGTCTCTCTCCAGGACGCTGGAGCTACAGAGGCTACACAAACGGACAAGAAGAGAAGGGCCCGGTCCTCCCCACCACCCCTCCAGCCCCAGAGCACACAGCTCAGAAAAGCCAGGGGCCCAGGCTCCTAGTCTGGGGGTGTATTTGTTCACTGTGACCTCACCTGCAGGTCCAGAAACACCTGGGGAGCTTGGAAACTGACCGATGCTCAGGCCGACGGAGTCAGAGTCCAGGGCAGGCAGGCACTAGTATTGTAACAGCGTTCTAGCTGGTTCTCTGGCCAGTCTAAATGGCCATACCATTCCCTACCCCAACCCCTCCTTCCCTTACACTAACGGTTCCACGGCAGGGTCGGCACCTGGGAGAGCTATGAGGTCTCAGGGACCCACCCCTTCCTTTCCCTCCGTCATCCATCAGCCATCACACCCCCCAGGCCCCTCGGTGACAGCCGGGGCAGAGTCCAGGGTTAGGGTGAGGGCTGGGAGCTCCGGGCTGTGCGTGGAGGGAGAAGCCAGGAGCCCAGGGCCTTGCCTTGTGCTTTCATGGACTCAAGGACACTCCACCCCTCCCTAAGCCTCAGCTTCCCCAGTTGCCAGGAGCAGGCGCTGCACTTTACGTCATCAGCAAAGATCCTTCCAATCCTGTTTACTTGGGCATGATGCCTGGGAGAGGAGGCATCACCAAATATTTTCTAAGATGCACATATTACCTTAATAACCCAAGAAAAATCAATTTTACAACAGGAGTCAATGCGGAAGGAGCCTCCACAGCATTACCTCTGGTCCTCAAGTGGCGGCGAGAATGGCCTCCCCCAACTCTGCCAACGGCCTGGCCCACCCACCAGAAGCTGGCCCTGCAGGTCAGCAGCCGAGTCTCCTGCAGTGCACGGGTGGTGGACTTGCCTGGTGTGGACAGAGGTACCACGGAAAAGCCGCCAGCCCTTCCCATGGGCAACAAGTTCTGTCCTCCTGGCGAGGCCCCAGGACTCTCGGCTCCCTGTAGCCAGCAATCCCCATCCTGCCAAGACCCCGCCTTAACGCTCTGCACCTGACCCACTACGCACCTGCCGCCCGGTCTGACAAGCACGCGGGACACAACGAGGGGCGGAGGCAAGCTGCCCCTGCTGCTGGCACCCAGCCACCCTACCCGCAGATGACACACTCATTTCTATGCACCCTCAGCCACGCCAAATCCCATAACCTTCATGTTCGGGGCCACAGGGGGAGAGGACACCGTGCCTGCACAAGCCCTCCATCCCAGGCATGCATTCACATTCCTCGTGCAAAGTTAGGGCTGTAATTACAGCAAGTGATTAAAAGGCCTGAGGTAGCCTGTCTCGGAGGGAGCAGATTAACAGCAGAGCTTGGGAATGCCTGCGCGCACCTCGGAACCACCGGTGCATCTTAAACAGGGCCCGGCGCCCCCACGAGCGGGTGATTAATGGAGGGGATGAGGACGGAGGACGTTTCCCTGGCACCCGTCACCAAACTTTTTTCTCTGGGTGCCTCCCTTGCTGGCCAGGCACAGTGGAGGGGAGGGGAGGGCAGCCAGGACTCAGGGAGAGCCCAGGTGAGGCCTCCATCACGGGCCTTGCTCTACTTCCCCCTGGGCCAAAGTGTACCCCCAAGCAGCAGCGTCCTAGGGAGAAGGAGAGGAAGATGGAAGCAAAGCCCACAGGGCCGAATGCATCCCAGGAGACAAGAACCTCAGCCGCCTCTGTCCAAATAGAAAACCCCAGGTTGCCCCGAGAACCTCTTCCAGCCCCAGGCGACACTCGGGGCTGTGCTAACAGGCAAAGGCTCTGCCAGGACTGTCGTCATCCAAGCAGAGGTGCCAAGGTCAAGCAGAACACCTGCTTGGCTGGCAGAAGCCTCTGCCTGGGGTGTGTCCTCCTGAGGGTCAGGGAAGAAACAGGAAGGGACTCTCCCCGGGCTGGGAGGTGTTTGCAGGGTTGTGATGTCCAGATATCCGCTTAGATGAAACTGTGTGTGTGCAGGCATGTCGGCATGTTGTGGGGTGTCATGCAGTATGACATGTTACCTGTGCATTTAGGTTTTAAACTACCCCCTTTTCAGTGCCTAATATGTGTCAGGGGCCGTGGACACAAAGACAGTTTAGGGACGATTGTCCTGCCCATGAGGCTCTTGGTCTTGCAGAGGAGGAGTCAGGGAAATGGCCAAACATGGCCCCGTAGCCAAGTGGCACCCACTTGAATGCATTCACCATTGGGCATGGCTGTGCCATGGCCAGGTGGCACATACCTGGATGCATTCACCATCAGGCACAGCTGCCCTGACCATATCCCATCCTCCTGTGGACCCCCCTCCCCACAGTGGGGGCCTTTCTTGGTGAAATGGCACAGCAGGGTGGTGAAAGGGCTGCCTTGGAACCAGACTGCTTGAGTTTGAATCACAGCTCAGCCTCTTACCAGCCATGTGGCCTCAGGCAGGCTGCAAGATCTTTCTGAGCTCCAGCGTCCTCTACTCCACAGTGGGCGCCCCACAAGCTTGCCTACCGGAAAGAACCGTGGGCGATGTCAGTGAGGCGGCACAGGCGCTGGGCACTCCACACAGCCTCCCGGGCCAGCACACAGAGCCATCTCTCCGAGTGTGGTTCCTGGGTCTCTGTGGGCCCACGTGCCCTAGTGGGCCTCTGTGGTTGGCCTTCTGGGCCTGCCCCTGCACATCTAGTAGCCAGCTCGCCCCTGCTTCCCCCAGTCTAACCTGGAATTTGGCTAAGGCTGCCAATCAAGATGCCCTGCCCACCATGGGCATGTGACCAGACCTGCCAATCCTTGAGGCACTGTGATTGGTACAGGGGCAGGCATGTGAGCTCAGCCAGGCCAATTGGTGTCCTTCCCTGGTATTTCTCCTTACCGAAGATCAATGGAGAGAAGCCCTCGACCCCTCTGGAGTTGCTGGGTGGGGACCGTGTGTACCAGACTTGCCCATGACACGCTCCCACCATCTCCACCCTGCATTGGACAGAGGAAGCCACTGGAAGCAGCAGAAAACGCAGCCAGCACACCTGGGATTCTGCTCACCTCCCAGCAGCCACACAGCCAGGCGCCCCCTCACCCCATCCTTCCCAACGGCATGCACCTCTGCAGTGAGCTACATTCCGAACATGCACCTGGGAATCCGACACATGGGTACGCACTCGGCAGTCACGCAGACATGCACTCCCTGCGCCCGGCACTGATCCAAGCAGTGGGCCACCATTGCCTGAGTCCTCTCACACCTGCCAGGCAGCTTCTAGAACCACCACATTCATAGATGAGGCCACGGGTGCGTAGCCTCACACATCCAGGTGGCCTGAGTCACGCCTCGTTGTTGTAATCTTGACAAACCACTGGTGTCTCCTGGATCTCAGCAACCACACAGTGATATCCTGCCCTTTTGTGGCCACTTCCCGACAGGCTCTGGGGCCACAGGCTGCCCCCACACCCCTACTGTCGCTCAGCAACACCACAGCCACCCCTAGTAACCCTGGCCCTAAGCCACAGCATCTAGCACAAGCCTCTGGGTGGCACCCGCATCCCCCCAGGCCCTGTGGATCCACCAGACCGTGGAGCATTTCTATTTGGTTAACGCCACAGCTTGGGAAGGACAAAGATGGCCCAGTGCATGTGAAAGTCCTGTGTGTACTGTGAAATGGAACCGTGCAGAAGCTGTGGCTGGTGTGGAGCTGTTCTCTTGGGACGTGGTGGGAGAGCACAGGGAGCTTTCCAGAAAGACCAGACAGGAGGCTGGAGCTCGGCGCCGTCCCATTCCTAGTCCCTACTTCCCTAGAGCCGCCACCTCTTTGCTGCCCGGGGTGAGGGAATTCTCCTGACTCTCGAACACACCCTCGGGTGTCCTGAGGCAGAAGCTGGCCTCAGCCTGCGTGCACCTGGTAACACCTGGCCCCACCCACACAGCTACAGGAAGGTAGAACTTGGCAGGAGGACAGGAGACCCTTTCCGGAGAAGCAACGCTCAAGCCAAAGGCTGAGCTTCCATCTGGATCAGCAGAGCCCTGTGAAGCCCTGTGGCAAGGCTCCCACTGCTCCCCAGGCCAGGTCACCTCATAGTTGGGACCCCTGGGGGTGTGCCAGCCTGCAGCTGGGAGACAGTGCATGGCCCAGGGCCCAGTGATCCAGCCACTCCCCCATCTGACCCCCACGCAGCTCCCGCCATGTGTCAAGTCACTTGTACCCCAGGTCTCTCCCGTCTCCTGTGTTACACTGATCCCCTTCCCTGAGACCTGCAGAAGCTCATCCACAGGGTGGCAAGAGAACCGCAATTGGAGAAGAGCCGCCAGCACACAGAGAAAACAAGAAATGCTGGCCGCGGGCAGCGCCGTTCCTTCTCAGAGTCTCTGCTCTGCTCTTCCCTTGAGGATGTTCTCTCTTCCCTCCTCCGTCGGAAAACCTGTTTGCCTTTCAGTTTCAACCCAAGGCCACCTCCCACATTGTCCCTAAGTACCCACCCTCCTCAAGGAGGTATCTGCCCCTTCTCTGGGTCCCTGCTGTGGTGTCCACACACCGCGTTGGTGCGGTGGGCAGGCACTCGAGGCTCCGGGCTGAGGCTGCGCCGCTTCAGAGACCATCGCCACGTTTCACCCCTGCACCGAGCCCCACGCGCTGCTAGCACATCACACGGAGTAAACTGCTGCTGGGTGGATCTCCAGCAAGGAACATAGTTTATCTTCTTCCTTCCAGAAACCTGGCTTTAATCGAGGCGCTCACCTCCAGGACCAAAGTCAAGGTCTCCTCCGCTCCAACAGCCTCGAGTCCAAGGTTCCGTGTGCCCACAGCCAAGAACATTTCACCAGGCCAACAGAGAGAGAGGGGAGAGTCAGAGAGAGAGCAGAGAGTCGGAGAGAGAGAGGCAGAGAGAGCGCGCACAGCCCTGGCCGGGAGCACCAGCTGCTGCTGTATCAGTCTGCATTCTCCGGGCATGACAAACGTTCAACACAACAAATGAAGAAAAATGAACTATTTCCATTGCCTAAAATACTCCCATCCCCACGGGGCTTAAGATAAAAAGTAAGAAGGGACAGGCATTGAATTGAAGAGAATGCAGGTGGCATGAGCTCTATGAAATGCCCATGTGTGGCCACACTCCCCTCCCTGGGCACCCCTGCCCTTCCACCAGCATGCCCAGGCCTGCCCCCTGCCCTGGAGAACCCGGATACCCAGCTCCTGGGCAGAGAGACCCAGGCTGTCACCCCATGTAGGATTAAATGAGGCTGACTCCAAAGAGCTGCTTCATAAATATTCACGCCCAGCCCAGAGGGGCTCCAGGCCTTAGAAAGAGCCAGAGCTCTGTTCATGCCCCGAGGTCAGAGTTCATCCCCAGAGGAGGTCCTGGGACCCTCATTCCTCTAATTACTCCTGAGAGCCTGGCCCAGCTGGTAGAGATGGAATGGAAAGTCTCAGGTAACTCGGATGAGAAGCTAGGAGGACCCGCGTGATGGAGCCACAGACTTGGGGCCTCCCCAGGTGTGCCCTCCGAAAGCACGCTGGAGCAACACACTGTGCACGGACGGATGGACGGATGGATGGACGCAACGTGCTGCAGCCATGCGCTGGAACGATACCTGCCCCAGGAAGATCCGACACATGCTGCAATATGGGTGGACCTCGAAAACATGACGCCGAGACAAGCCAGACACAAAAGGTCGCATGTCGTACAATCCACCGATAAGAGGGCCCTCGGGGAGTCCCACTCGTAGACACAGAAGGTAGCATGGGGGTTGCTGGGCTGGGGATGGGAAGGGGGAGCCGGTGTTTTATGGGCGCAGCGCTTCAGCTGGGGAAGATGAGAACGTTCTGGAGGTGGATGGTGACGATCGCACAGCAATGTGAAGGTGCCGAATGCCACTGGCTGAACTGTGCACTAAAAATGGTTCATACGGTTAATGTTATGTTACGTGTATTTTATCATCATAAGAAAAAGGGGGACCAGGCCCTGTGGCTCACGTCTGTAATCCCAGCACTTTGGGATGCTGAGGCAGGTGGATTACTTGAGGTCAGGAGTTTAAGACCAGACTGACCAATATGGTAAAACCCTGCCTCTGCTAAAAATAAAAAAAATTAGCCGGGTGTGGTGGAAGGTGCCTGTAATCCCAGCTACCTGGGAGGCTGAGACAGGAGAATCACTTGAACCCAGGGAGCGGAGGTTGCAGGGAGCCAAGATCACGCCACTGCACTCCAGCCTGGACTACAGAGTGAGACTCTGTCTCAAAAAACATAAACAAAAGAAAGGAAGGAAGAAAATGATGGAGGGAGGGGGAATGGAAGAGTGCTGAACTTTCGAAGCGGGAGTGGGGTGCAGGGGCCCCTATTGCTGCTGGCTGAGCTCTTACTCGGTGCTTCAATTACTCAGCAGGGAGAGAAGTTGTCAGGACGACTCAAAAGCTCCAAGGTGCAGTGAAAACCCCACCCAGCCCACCACTGGCCTCTCATCCACGGCTTCAAAGAGGGAAGGCCGGGGGAAAACCCCACGGTCATTAAACAGATTGTGCTGGGGGAAAGTGATCATTTTGGTAACATGGACGGAAAATCAGGAAATGTCCAGTTCTGAGACACATGATGCCCAGCCTTCCTTCCCTCTGGCAATCTCAGGAGCTGCCTGGCCTGTTCCTGACTCAACACCAAAGCTCCCGGCAGATCCTTCACCTTCTTGAAAGCTGCTGGCCTGAGGTCTGACCCGGTATTGATCCTGCAAGTGCAGACAGGAGGCAGCCGGAGAAACCCAACGAGACTCCCATAATTACACGGAGATAAGACTATCAGGTGGAATTAAACAGTGCCCACAGGCAGACCACTTGGCTACATCCTCCGTCTCTCCCCTCCCTCCTCCTTCTTTTCCCCAGGACTGCAAAATAAATTATCCTGTGAAGTCAGCAGAGGCTGAGCTATGGAAACAATTAAACAGAAATTAAATCTAATTCATTTATACTCTGAGCACAAGTGGATAATGTAGGTTTTTTTCTCTCTCTCCTCTTTTCGCCTTGGTGTTAGAGAGGACTATTATGGGAAATTAATCACGAGACATGGCAGTGAAAGTGATCTATCACTCTTGCCAGTGCACAGACCGACTGTACACGATCTATGACAGCAGCTACACATGTGAGGTGATGCTGTTTGGGAGAAGGGGGCGGGCAGGGATGGGGGGCACCTGACGGAAGCCCATGTGATGGCCTGGCCGGGGCCCCAAGTCCTCCGGGTCGGAGGGTGCTGGAAAGAGCCTTGCACGTGAGTTTTCCCGGGCTTATTCAGGTGTCTCCAAAGCCTGGCTCATACCCATGTGGGGAAAACACCGTAATCCTGAACACTGGCGGTGCTGGGGCCTGGAGGCTGTGGGGAAGCCCACTGGATTTTTCTCCTGCCACTGGAAGGACAGGGCTTGGCGGAACAGCCCCTGGGAGGAGGACCTGCAAGAACAAGCCAGGCCTCGGGCTCCCCGTCCAAAACCGGGGGTGAGAAGCAGCACGGGGCGGAGTAGGGGGCAAATGAGCAAACCCACAGGAAGGCGTTGAAGAAGGAAAGCCGCAGAGTGGTGTCTAGCTCTGGGCCCAGCGAGGCTCGCTCCAGCTTTCCTGCTTTCAAGAGAAACAATTTGGAAAATTGTTTTCCCGTCGTAGGGAGGGTGGAGATGGCATAAATAGAACATTTCCTCCAAATGAAGGGAGGGCCGAGGCGGCCGCGGCCAGGAACAGCCAGCAGGAGAAAGCCAGCCATCACAGGAGACGTGTCTTCAGGATGCCGTCACCGGGAAGCACCAAGAGAAGCCCAGGGCTGGCAGGTCCCCCTAAGACCAGGGGATCCCGGGCCCCCAAAACAGATGCTCTGGAGGTAAACCAAGGAGCTGGGGTGCTGGGGAAGCCTGAGCTTTGAACTCGGCATAAAAATCGGAAGAAACAAAGGTCAGTTTCTATTCTGCTGCTCTCCTGAAGGGCAGGCAGCCCTCTCAGCAGATGGGGCCGTCCCTGGGAGCCCGCACACCCCACGCCCCCACCCCCGGGGCTCACGCACCCCACAGAGTCCTCCTGCCATGCTCTCAAGGAAGCAGAATAAGAGACCTGCCAGTGACGGCAAGCAAAGGCGTGTCCCGCAAGTCCTAAGCCCTCTGGCCCTGGAATGGCCGCGGCTTTGCAGCCCACCCAGATCAGAGGTGGGCCCGAGCTAGCCAGGACCAGGGCGGGAACGGGGAAGAGAACCCCTCAAGAGGGAAAGGGCCACAGCCCTGCTTCCCTGCTAAGAGGAGACGGCCTCCCTGCCGGTCCCCTCCCCGCCTGTCCCCTCTCCTTTACCTGTCCTGTCCACGCTGTCAGGATCATAGCATCTATCATCACTGTCAAGCGTTAGTCTTGCCTGGAAGGTTTGGCCCTCGGCCCTGGCTCCTGGAAGGTCACCCCTAAGCCCTTGGAGTATCCTGCCTGAAAGAGCATCCCTGTTTACCTCGGGCCACACCATGTCAGCTTGACCCCTGGAGTGGCTGGAGACTGAGGTCAGTACCTGGGTGGTCAGTCACGTCTCCATGACTGAGACCCCGTAAAACTCTGGACACCAGAGCTGGGGTGAGCGTCCCCGGCTGGCAACACCCACACGTGCTGTCCCGTACCGTTGCTGCGGGAGGAGCGGCAGAGCTCCAGGCTGCTTCCCGGGACCCTGCCCTGCCTCTGCGTTGCTCCCCATGGCTGGTTTTCATCTGCATCCGTTCACTGGAATAAGTTGTCACCTTGAAGATAGTGGCTGTGCCGAGTTCTGAGTCATTCTAGCAACCCTGAGCCTCAATGGTCCACAAAGCACATTGAAAGTCACCAAGCCAGGTCTCCCCTGTGCAGTCGAGGACACCAAGGCCCAGGCTTGAGTGAATTGCCCAAGTCACACAGCTCCCTGGTCGACGGGGCCGGGACCAGTGTCTCTCCCAGCTTGCCCCAGCCTCCTCGCCTGTGGAGTGGGGCTCGCCGGGCAGTGTCAGCCGGTGGCGGTGTGACATCGCCCCAGGCAGGCCAAGCAGGTGACCAGGCAGCAGGGCAGGAGACAGCAGGGGTGGGACACAGGCTGCTCCCCGTCAGCCAGAGACTGGGGACATGCAGGGCAGCTGCCAACCTTCATCTCCGGGGACAGCAGTGAGGACTAGAAGGAGCATGTCAGGCCAAGGCAGGGAGCAGCCTGGAGCCGCAGCCGGGCAAGCTGCCCTCCTGTGTGCACGTGCCAAGGTCCAGGGGTCAGGTGCCAGGAACACAGAATGTGCATTAAAACCCCAGCCCGTACTCCCACACCCAGACGCACATGTTCCCACAGCGCCTGCCCCCTGCCACCAGCCCACCAGCCGCCTGCCTCTGCCTGGCCTCACACACAGGGCCAGAGGCCTAGAAGTGGTTAATGTCCTCGGCCGCCTGAGCCTGGCACCTCGGCCTGGGGGCAGACGGCGCCACGCCGCAAAGAGGCCAGCACCTGCCACGGGGCCTGGGCTGGCGGAGCACAAGGGTGGGGTTGGTGTTGGGCTCCCCTCCAGGGCTGTAGGGAAAGAGTGCCTCGGGCCCTCCCAGGTGGCTGGGTGCCACGCACAGCCTCCCCCAGCAGACACACTCGCACACAGCTTCCAGACCGGCTTCTATCTGAAGTCACCCCCATGTTGCAAGAGGTCCCCACCAGATCCAGCTACACGAGTTACAGGCCTCAGAGCAAAATGCAACTGGGAGGCCCTTGTTTGAATCTCACAATGGTGACGGCAGAGCACCGAGCCAAGCACAAGCCCTCCCGAGCAGGGAGCACACGGGTGAAGCCAGCCTGGCCCTGCAGCCAGAGCCACTCCTGGCTGTCTGGGAGGGGCCTGCAGACACGCAGAGAGGGTGGGGGGCATGAGAGATGCAGCTTGTTCCCCTTATACCAGGTAAAGCCAGGGAGCTGCTGCTCAGTGACCAC